TCTGATTCTGGACCCAGGTTCTGGACCCTGGTCACTCTGATTCTGGACCCAGGTTCTGGTCCCTGGTCTCTCTGATTCTGGACCCGGGTTCTGGACCCGGGTTCTGGACCCTGGTCATTCTGGTTCTGGACCCTGGTTCTGGACCCGGGTTCTGGACCCTGGTCACTCTGGTTCTGGTACCATCAAGGTTGGGTTGGACCGGTTCCAGGTTGAGTCATGAGTTTCAGTGCAGGTGGGCGGAGCACTTACGGGTTTCTGGAAGCAAGTGAGGAGCCGGGCCGGATCAGAACCCAGTAGAAACGAGCCCACAGCGGACTGACCCCCCGGCTCTCTGGCCTCCAGCAGGAACCCGGTAAATGGACCAGAACCCTGGAGAGAGACTGGAGAACAGGAAGGCTGTCAGACTGGGACCAGAACCTCCAGTCCAGTAAAGATCCTGCTGTTCCATAATGGGAGGTTCTGGTTCTGTGGAGCAGAACCCAGAGGGAGGAAGATCAGAGAGAATCATAACCTAATTAGTGAAACAATTAGAAACAATTATCACTCAGTTAGGGAAACAACAATTGTTGTGAAAGGCAGAAAACTGCTGAGTCACTGTCAGGGAGGGAGTGAGAGAAACTGGTTCCCAGTGTAAACTGGTCTGGTTCCTGTGTTTTCTGCCTTTGAAGGGTCGGTGACTGACCTTTGACCTGTCCTCCAGACGTGGGGCTGCTCCACTCCGCGCTGACGGTGAACGGCGCGGCGGCGGTCTGGGGGCTGCCGCGGTGGTTAGGGGTCATGTCCGCGCAGCTGGCAGACACCAAGCCTGAGGGGTAGCAGCGAGCGGCCGGAGCGGCCCAGATCAGAACCAGCAGCAACGGGATCCGCTTCATGATGCGCCTCCGATGATGTGCTGCAGGAGAGGAGGAGATGGAGCTACACCTGCTGAGGGCGGAGCTTAGCGCTGGCAGGTGACACGATGGGAGGGAAACCGGCAGCAGCTGCAGTTCTCTGATTTCCTGAGCAGCAGCTCGCGGTTATTAACCCCTGAAGGAGCAGAGGGAACTTCCTGTTTCCTGCAGGAAGCTGCAGGCGACTCTGTGCTGCTCACAGGCAGAAAGAGGAAACAACTAAAGTTAAACTTTTTCCCTGAACAGAAGCAGGAAAAGCAGCAATGACTCAGCCTAGACGGGCTGGACGTCTGCCAGATCCGTCATCCCGTCTGACCTTCGGCTCCTCCTGGCTTCACCAGCAGGAGGCGCTCAGCTTCCAGGAAACATTAAAACTGGAGCTGTGTGAGAATCTGTTCCCTGTGTCAGGAGCACTGCAGCCAGAGAGGCGGTCCGATCACTTCCACGGCGCTTCTGATCGATTTCTCAGTAAAACATATAATCATGTCAATGGTGTAACTTTCAGTTTAGTCGTCAGCTAACATGGTAAAATAAATAAATACACGATTTTGTGTTGATGTTTTAATCACCAAGAGAACCGCTCTGTTTCCAACCTTCGTTAATCAAGCCTGACAAATAAAAGTCAGTCACCAAACACGGGTTTCCAGCATGTTGTGTGTATTTATGATCTTTCATTGCTCATAGAACAGGATGGAAACTGGCTGACAGCAGGGCACAAAAATTTATCTTCCTAAAAAGATGAGTGCGTACTTTCTGGAAAATCCCGTTCTAATGTAAAATATGACAGATTGCTGGATAGAAAAAATTCTTGTTACTTTTTGGTGCCTCAATCATTCTATCAGACAAACAGTCATTGAGATTTTGGTAACATTTCCTCGTTATTTGCCAAAGTTATGAGGGAGGAACCAAATATTTCAGCTGCCTGAACGTTTCCCCCCATAACATGGGAACTTATTAATTTACCGCAAGTTGTGGTGGAAAATTTCTACAAGTTAACATCTGCTGATCATGTTACACCAAAAGAACCTGTTTGGGCCACGCGTACACACACATACACACACACACACACACACACACACACACACGGTGGGAGTTGTTTTGCTGCAGCTGCACAGAACCAGACTGTCTCCACTGTTTTGGATTCCTTACCTTGGTATAAAACTCGTGTCGTCTCTGCCTGGCAGAGCTTTTCACCAGACCTGCTTCATTATGGATTGTCCTACAAGCTCCCTCTGTTGTGCACAATATATGAATAAACCTGATTGAGTGAGTTCACCTGACAGTGCCTGGTAAATAGTCTTTTTTCCACAACAAAGTCTTTAACTGTTCTTATTTATCTCATCATCAACAATAAATCCTGTGAATAAGGTAACATTTGCTCATTATTTGCCAAAGTTATGAGCTATCAGCCAGTTTCCATCCTATTATATCAGCAATGAAAAATCACAAACACACAACGTGTTGGGAATCTGTTTGGTGACTGACTTGTCAGGCTTAATTGACGAAAGCTGGAGAAAGAGCGATTCTCTTGGCGAACAAACAACACAAACTGGTGAAAGAAGACCTAGTTTATTTATTTATTTTACCATGTTGGCTGACGACTAAACTGAAAGTTACACCATTGACATGATTATATGTTTTACTGAGAAATCGATCAGAAGCGCCGTGGAAATGATCGGACCGCCTCTCTGGCTGCAGTGCTCCCGACACAGGGAACAGATTTCCACATAAGACCGGCTCCAACCCTTCCTAGCATACAAACTGGATCCACTTTGGATCCTGATTCCTTTTCCAGTTCCCGTCCTATTTCACATCTTCCTTTTCTTCCTAAAGTGCTGGAAAAGGCAGTGGCTGCCCAACTCCAGCGCCACCTTCAAAGAAATTCTCTGTATGACAAATTTCAATCTGGGTTCCGTCCTGCTCATAGCACTGAGACCGCCCTGCTAAGAGTTACTAATGATGCTCTCATGGCTGCTGATACTGGCTGCGCCTCTGTGATGGCTGCAGTTACCGCCACACAAATGTGGTAATATTCACTCTCACCACACGCAATAGGTTTATCTCATTTATATTTGGATTTCTTTAAGTTTAGGATTTAATTTACAGAATAACTGGTTTTGTTTAGAAAGCAACACATCACATTGTATTCTAGAATAAGTGCGCACATTCTGGTTTATATTGTTGTGTTTTGCTTGATTTAATCTTTGTTGTTTCTGAGTTTCTTAAGTGCTGGCTGCCCCAATCCTTAGGAGAGCAGAGAGGTGGAGAAGGGGTGGAGCAAGCCAGCTGAGACTGCAAATTGGTTCACACCATTACTCATCATCCAGAGGGGGGGAATGGGATTTTGCTATGTTAGTTTCAGTTAGGTTTCTGTGTATTTTCCCCTTTTTGTGTTTTGTATGTGGCCTGATCAGCCAGTATTTAAGTCCCCTTTTGTCTCTGTTTGTTAGGTCTGAGTTGATGTCTGTTACTTTGACCTCTTTTATGGGCCCAAATTTTGTCATTTTTTCCTATTATT